TGTATTTGTATTTCCAGCACTTAGCACAATACCTGGCACATAGTAAGGTCTTAATAAATGCTTACTGGCTGACTGGCAGTATAATATGTAGCACTCATATAGAGGAATCTTAGAATGTCAAGGCTGGAAGGAACACCTGGGAATAGAGAATATCAGAGCTATAAGGGACTTTAGAAGAGAGAATGCAAGAGCTGGGAGGGACTTTGATATGGAATGTCAGAGCTGGGAGGGCCTTAGAGATCATCTAGTCTAGACATATCAAAACTCCTGGACTGAAAAACACCGGTGTGCTGCCCAGACCAGATTAAAATGTAATTGGAAAATGCTTACCAAAGTAAATTCACCTCCTGTCCACAGCTAGTGTTCCTGAGTCAGCAGTCATCTGCTGGACTCTGTGTCCCCTGGAGTTGTCTGAGGGGGCCCCCAGGGGGGAGTGCCCCAGGCCCCAGTGCCCTGGTCCTGGGAGCCAGGCTGAGGCGAGGCTGTCTCCTGACCACTCTGCTCTCTCCTCTCCTCAGAGCTTGTTGCTGTGGCCCCTGACCTCCAACTTCAAATTCACCATCCCGATTCTGACGTTCTTCCACTCTCTGTTCAGAGCATTCAGAAGATCCTGAAGAAGTTGTGGGAAGGAGGTGGGGGTTGAACTGGAGACCCTTTTTTGGGGGAGGGGTGGTGACTGCTGCTGGTGGGACTAGGGGGGCAAACAGAGGGTTTTCCTCTCGTTGGCTCATCCCTCTGTCCTGCTTTCTAGGGTCACTTTTAAGAGAAACTCCAGCCCCGAAAAGCTGTAGCTATAACTTGTTATATTAAATTGTTTTCTCTTTAGCCAGCTATCTATCTTATCAACTGCTGCATGGCCAAGCACACTTACCCCCATCCCGGTGCCACCCAGGCCCAAGGTCATTCTATCCAGATATAGGGCTTGGAACGCTCCCAAAGGCAGCTGTAGAAGCCAGAGACCCAAAGCCAGAACCATCATTCTTTCCCCAACTGTTTGGGGTGTTGACGCTCCTCTAGCTTGATTCTCACCCTAGTTCAATCCCAGAGCCCCATCCCTAAATAGATCTAGAGCCAATATTCTTTCCAAGTGCTGTGGTCTACAGCCCATCAAATTCTACAGTCCTCACCACCCCAAAAGTCAGCTATAGGAACCCCAAACCCAGATCCAGAACCCTAGGCATGGTCACAACACAGCTCTGGGAGCTTTACTCATATAGCCAGCTCCGGAATCAGCCTCCCCCTCAACCAAGTCAGTTCTGGAATCCTTATCTCTAGAGTCCAGAAGCCAGACCTAGAAGCCCCAGCTCTGAAACCCACCCAGAATAGGCCCCTCCAATACATCTTCACATACTCCACCAGGGCCCTTCAGTGCAGCTCCCTCACCAGGGCCTAGGCACATATCAGAGTGAGTAGGAAGGGGAGACACAGTGATATGGAGCAGGGGAGATACATTATCAGGACAGAAGCAAGGAGAAAGATGGGGGGGATATTGGAGGGGCACAGAGGGGGAATAGAGATGAGGAGAAATGATGGGAATTTATAGAGAAAGAGATGGGGAGATACAAGGACAAAGGAGATGGGGAAAAGGAGAACAGGAAGAGATGTAAGGGGAGAGATTGGGGGACAGAAATGGGAGAGATATAAGGGAGACAGAGAGGAGGGGAGATATTTAAGGGACAGAAAAGGGTATGAGAGGAAATGTGGGTCCAAGGAGAGAGAGAGAAGAGCAAGAAGAAGAAGAGGAAGAAAAATAGGAAGAGGAGGAGGAGAGAAAGAGGAGAGGAGAAAGGAGAGAGAGAGAGAGAGAGAGAGAGAGAGAGAGAGAGAGAGAGAGAGAG